TTGTTATTTCTTCTCGTGTCAGTCTAATTTTCCTCTTTTAGGAAGATAGACAGATACACAGACAAATCGATGGTTATTTACACGCACACACACACAGATATGTATATATATATATATATATATTATACTTGTATATTTGTATATATAGACACTTTTTGTGGATGTTTGGTTGGACGTTGTTTCTTTGCTGTCCAGCGGTGTGTCCGCTGTTATAGGTGTATATATATATATATATATAGATTACTCAGATAGATCGTTATATAGATCGTTATCTGGGACCACTCATTGAAATTTCAGGCAGCGATGCCGCTACCGGTGTCTACAACTTCTTGCCTGGAGAAAGTTCAAGACAGAGGCAGTGGCGGCTTTGGGGCGTGTGGCGCCAAAGAGGAGGACAAAGGCAACGGGCGGGTGAGCGTTTTTCGTCTAATGCTTGGCACAACCGTTGGTAAAAAAAACCGCTGGGGCAGCTGTTCAAGGAAGCGGTGTCTTTAGCGTGAGGTGCAAACCTCTAGCGTGTCTTGAATGGAGCGGTGTGACCGCTTTGTTTTTTTGTTGGGAGCGGTGTGGCCGCTATACATACATATATATATAATAATAATACTAATAATAATTATTATTATTACTATTATTATTACTATATATATATAAATATACGCCAGTCCCTTTTTTTTCTACCAATGCGTTGTTTCTTTTTGTTTGTGTTGGAACCAATCAACCTTGTATCTATATAGGTATTTTGGCTGTGAAAGGATTAGGCACTGGTCGACATGGCAGATCGCCGTAAGCAACAAAATTTTCAGGCCCTTCCTCAGTATTTGACAGAGGAAATGTGGTCCAGCTTCTCCCGTCAAAGCCAGGAAAAGAGCCGATCCATGCTTCTCCAACACAGTTGGAATTTAGGAATGAGATGTCCATTCGAAGGTTCGTTTGCCATCATCTACAACATCCTTCACCTGACGTCTTCTCAGCACGGACGAGCGATCTCACCCTTTGGCAAGTATCAAGGAATTCAGCAGGTAAAGAAGGAGTGGAAAAACTACAAAGTGGCAAAGCGACATGAGGACTTCAAGTATGCGGAGTACTTGGAGGTGCTTCCACAGGACGTGCAGCATCTTCCAGCGGAATATTATTTGATTGCGTTTCAGCATGACCTTCCTGTTCTTCCGCACTCCTCATCTCAACAGTATCCTTTGGTTTAGATGCTCACCAAAGTTTTTAGTGAGACTTGATATGTACTGACTTCTGAACTATGTATATATGTTTATCATGTTCATCAAAATATCTTCAAGGCTTGCCGATGGACGATCTCATGATGGCCGTTGGAGCAACTCCAATGCGTTGGCCGAAAGATCAAGCTAGTGAGCCTGAATCTAGCAGCAAGGTATCCGATGGCATGAACCACCTGATGGAACTTGCCTTTCGGATGGGCCAGACTTCTGGCTGTCGTTCAGTTGATTCGAGGACACCTTCAATTTCCTCGGCTGCGAGTGCCAGGCCGTCCTTTCCTTTACTCGCCCTTGAGGATGATCCTAACAGGAAACACCCACAGGACTGTCAACTTGATGCCGTTTGCAACCTATCATGAAGCGGTGTGACCGCTATACACCTCAGTATGCGCGAATAGATTAATTGGTGCTGGTATGGCTAACCCGGATTTTTTTTATACGTCATTGAATGTGCAACAAGCCATTTGTATATGTAAGAATATTCTAATGCATTATATATATATATGTAGAAAGAGATAGAGAGGGAGAGAGAAAGAGCAGCGGTGCGACCGCTTAAACTTGCTGGTGAATTGCATGGCCTGAAAAGATTTCCATAGAAGAGTTTGGTTTTGAATCTCGGTAGAACGCTTATTTTACAGGAGCCTCAGACACAGTCTGACATGTTGGTTGCGACGACGCAGCCGGCAGCAGTTGAGCCTGAGGAGTTGCCTCCTGCCGGCGAGGACCGTGTGGATGCTGAGAACCTAGAGAACACCGTCCCTGTGCCTTTGGATGAAGGATTGCACAGGTTGCAAGGAAGCTTCGGACCAGCGTGACAGCAAGAAGCAAAAGCCTGCCGGAACGGTTGGCGCAACACCCAAAGTGAAAGCTTCTCCAAAAGGAAAGGCTAAGGCAAAGGCTGCATCGAAGAAAGCAGCAGCTGCACCCAAGAGCAGTAGCAAGCCATCGAAACGATGCGCGAAGAAAGGCACAGCCAAGAGCAAGGTTTCCAAGCCGGGCAAGGTCAAGAAACCACAGCCCAAGGAACCCAAGATGACCCGAGAATGCGTTTACAGCCGGGCCTACCACCAAGCTGCCAGCAACTTGTTTAAACCACTTGCTTAAGAGGAATGCGTTCCCAGTTTCCCCCTTTCGGCTGTCAGTGTCTCGTTTGTCTTTTCTTTGAACTACTCTGAGGCAAGTACAGAAAGCAGGGCATGACCGAGACTCAGGTCAAAGAGAAGTCGAAGGCAGCGGGGCAGCGGGCCTTGAAGCAAGTGTTTCCTGAGTAGGATCTTGGCGTTTGTTTAATTTGACCCTGGTTACGGTAACAACTTTAAAAAAGTTGTGATAATTTGATGCTGTAAGTGCTGCACACTTACGAATGCAAGCCCGACATCTCTCAAAGATAAAGGCCGTAAGTATTGCTTCCCAGCGTTGGCTTTTTTAAAATGCAATTTGCATGGTGCTTTGAGATATGAAGCGGTGTGTCCGCTTTTTGAACAATGCACCAAGACCGATGATCGCAGGGATCAGTGACAAAGCGGTATCACCGCTTCAAGTATCAGGCAGGCATGATTCAGCCTCGTTGTAGGGGAACTGCAAGAGAAAGAAGATGCCGGTAGGCGTCTTCAGCTCAAATCTGGGGTGCAAATACAAACAGTGAAGGCTTTGTTGTTATAAAAAGTCTGTGTCCATTTATAAAAAGTCTGAAAAATTAATGAAATTACAGTATTTGGATGAGTGAAAATTTGGAAACATGAAAATTACAAAACTATCAGAGAAATAAACTAATGAAAACACATCATAAGGTTCATTACATGATGTTGATCACTGCTGTGAGGATGTGTAGATCTGGATAGGCACTGTGAGAGTGCTGTGAGAGCGCCTCTCATTCCAATAGATTTGGTAAATTGCGTCATCGGTTCAAGGCAAACCCATCACTGTGAGAGTGCCCAATAGATGAGATACCCTTATTTTCTAACTATTCTCCTTGTTTTCACAAAATAGGCTATATACAGAAAATAGTCTACAAAAAAATAAACTATTTAGTTAAATCTATGATTGAGAAATCGGTCTATTTTTACAAAATCGGCAGATTTTTCCCGGGACAGGGGGGTCGTAGTTTGGTAGAAAGTCGGTCGGACTTTCGCCCCTTGTTTGCAGGCGTGGGTCGGAGTTTGGTGAAGGTTTGAAGATTGATTTTTGCAACCCCTCCAGCATTTCCACGCATTGGCGTCATACTTTGGTCAGACTTTGGTCGGAGTTTGGCCCCAAATAGAAATTATCTATTTCCTAGGAAATAGATTATTTCCTAGGAAATAGGCTCAAAAAAATCTAACTATTAGTTAAATGTGTTTTTCAAAAATCTATCTATTTTTCAACCCCCCAAATCTACCAATTCTATCTAAATAGACTACTTCTTGTGAAATAGGTTATAGTCAGAAAATAGACTATTTCAATCTATTGGGTGTGTGTGCTCAAGAGCCTGGCGACATTAGATGCCATATGGCCATGTCTAAATTTCAGGTTGGATCATATCATATTGAATGCAAACCAAGCCCACCACTGTGAGAGTGTGCACTGTGAGAGTGTGCACTGTGAGAGTGTGCACTGTGAGAGTGCTTACCTGAACCTTTGCTGGGTAACTACTATACACAGAGCCGGTTCTGGATGTGTTTCACCGGCCAGGCGACTTCAAGCCTGCTTGCAAGGTACTAACCTCAGTATGTGCATTTGCATTTTGAATTTGTGGCTTGGAAATTGCTGTGACAGCTTATTGCACTGTGAGAGTGCTAGGAATATGCTGTGACAGATTATTGCACTGTGAGAGTGCTAGGAGAGTGCTAGGAATATGCTGTGACAGATTATTGCACTGTGAGAGTGCTAGGAGATTATTGCACTGTGAGAGTGCTAGCAATATGCTGTGAAAGCCCATTGCACTGTCAGAGTGCTGGTGATAGGGCAATGTCCTCCCGCATTATTTTTTGCAACCCTTCATGCCTGGCTGCCCATGCCCTGAATCCTGCCTGGAAACTGTCAGCACCATCATCCAGCCAAACCTTGGCCCATGATGTCAGAGAATTGCTTCCGAAGAGCAAACTATAGAATTTCATTTGGAAACTTCGTGGCTTTGCTGTAAAGGATCATATCATTGTTTGGCATTGCATCCTACTTGAATTTTGTTCAGCTCTTCCGGGTTCCACAACCTGCTTGATTTTGATAATCAAAAATCCATGGGGAATTGGGTGGTGAAAAATCTTTCGGATCTGGGGTGTGACCAAAAACCGTCGGATCGGAGATGCCAAAAAACCGTCGGATCTGCAGGCCTAAAAATCCGTCGGATCTAGGGTGTTAAAAAACCGTCGGATCGGGGTTGTGCAGATCTGAACACCGAAAGATCTGAAGAAAAAAATTACTTTACTTCGTGTGATCCCCACCATGACATTTATACATTTTCTTACTGGCAAATCTTCTGGCATTCTATCTGACATATCTTCTGACATTCTATTTGGCATTCTATCTGGCATATCTTCTGGCATATGATCTGGCATATCTTCTGGCATATCTTCTGGCATTCTATCTGGCAAATCTTCTGGCATTCTATCTGGCATATCTTCTGGCACTCTATCTGACATATCTGGCTATCTGGCATTCTATCTGGCATATCTTCTGGCATATATTCTGACATATCTTCTGGCATTCTATCTGGCATATCTTCTGGCAATATTCTGGCATATCTTCTTATCTGGCATTCTTCTCTGGCATATCTTCTGACATATCTTCTGGCATTCTATCTGGCATTCTATTTGGCATTCTATCTGGCATATCTTCTGGCATATCTTCTGACATTCTTTCTGACATTCTTTCTAACTTTCTTCTGCACATTCTTTGTCCCATATCTTCCTACATGAGGTCCGGCAGGGAACACTTGGCGTGGATACTCGCGGTTGAGGTCCGGCAGGAACACTGGGCGTGGATGGTCGTGGTTGAGGTGGTCGTCGCGGTTGAGGTCCGGCAGGAACACTGGGCGTGGATGGTCGTGGTTGAGGTCCGGCAGGGAACACTGGGCGTGGGTGGTCGTGGTTGAGGTCCGGCAGAGAACACTGTGGATCGCGGGTCGCAGTTGAGCAAGGACGACGAGGACGACGAGGACGACGAGGACGACGAGGACGACAAGGACGACAAGGACGACAAGGATGACAAGGAGGACGAGGAGGACGAGGAGGAGAGGAGGAGGAGGAGGAGGACGAGGCAGGAGTCAGGAGGAGGCAGGAGGAGGCAACTGACATAAAATCTAACAAGCCTCACCTGGCAGGTGGGGAAAAAATCTTCGGATCCCATTTGAAATAAATAAGCAGAAAAAAAACAAAAAATGGATCTGAAGAGAAATCCCACGGATCATGGGCGTACAAACTGTGCAGGAGAGATCTGGAGAAAAAAAATCCTTCGGATATCGGAATGAAAACCAAAAAACTTCGGATCTTGATAGGGCAGATTGTGTGGAAAAGATCTGTTGGATCATTGTTCCCGCTGCAAAATCTGAAGAAAAAAAATCCGTCGGATCTCATGTACGCAATCTGTGTATGTGAGATCTGTGGGATTTTGCTTTTTTATTTTGAATTTGTTTAAATATTTTGTGGATTTTGTTATTTCGATCTGCTTGGTGTGTCTGAAACCTGATATGTTTTGGTCACCCAGATCTGAAAAAAAGGATGCACCCCCATCAACAATATAGCAGAATCTATGTCTTTGCCTTGGGCTGTCACAATTGAACTCCCCTCATTCTGGAACTTTTTTGTGGGTAAGAACAGATGCCATCTGGTATAGTTCTGAATTAAAACAGCCCTGTTGGCACTGACATTGCCCTATCACCAGCACTCTGACAGTGCAATGGGCTTTCACAGCATATTCCTAGCACTCTCACAGTGCAATAATCTCCTAGCACTCTCACAGTGCAATAATCTGTCACAGCATATTCCTAGCACTCTCCTAGCACTCTCCTAGCACTCTCACAGTGCAATAATCTGTCACAGCATATTCCTAGCACTCTCACAGTGCAATAAGCTGTCACAGCAATTTCCAAGCCACAAATTCAAAATGCAAATGCACATACTGAGGTTAGTACCTTGCAAGCAGGCTTCAAGTCGCCTGGCCGGTGAAACACATCCAGAACCGGCTCTGTGTGTAGTAGTTACCCAGCAAAGGTTCAGGTAAGCACTCTCACAGTGCCAATAGCCATGGTGCTCTCACAGCACTTGCCTTTCAATGTTTGACACTCTCACAATGTCAAACTGACCTGCCTAGAAGTGGTAGAACTGGCTCCTGACATGCCTGAGCGAACCTGATCTGCCAAGATTGAGACTACATGATGATATCAATAAATATGGAATCATCTTGGCACTTTTAACATCCTGTTTTATTTCTTAGGCATCTGATTTTCAAACCAAGGTCAGGAACAAGCGCTTCACTATAACCAATGGGATACTCAATGTAAAAAGAGTGCAAGGTTTTCTGGATCTGCTACAGATCGAATCCCATTGATGGTATTTTTGAGTCAATAGATACAACCTGAAACCATTGTTTAGACATCCGGCTAATTTCGCCAAGTGGAGCCCGCACACTCTCACAGTGATGGGTTTGCCTTGAACCGATGACGCAATTTGCCAAATCTATTGGAAGAGAGGCGCTCTCACAGCACTCTCACAGTGCCCATCCAAATCTACACATCCTCACAGCAGTGATCAACATCATGTAATGAACCTTATGATGTTTTTTTTCATTAGTTTCTTTCTCTGATAGTTTTGTAATTTTCATTTTTTCCAAATTTTCACTCATCCAAATACTGTAGTTTCATTAATTTTTCAGACTTTTTATAAATGGACACAGACTTTTTATAACAACGAAGCCTTACGGCTTGAAGTTTGAATGCGCAAATATCTCTTGGTCCACTATGGAGGGGCTCCGCTCCGCAGACGATTGGGAACGATGGTCTCGATCCAAACTTTGGCGTGAGCTCCCTAGAGGCCAGGAGCAGCGACATCGCCGCAGCGATTTGGTTTTGTTTTTGGGCACTGGCTGGACAAGTTTCAAGTACTCCTGGGTGCATCATGACAATTTGGATGCGGTTCCCACTTGGCGAATGCAACTTGCCTTGCTTTGTTTTTTTTTAATAGTGTTCAGCTTTATTTTTGTTTACAGCCTGTGCCGCAGACCAGGTATTTAGCGAACGACGGCCAGGCCATAGTGGTGAGACCAACCGGAAATCCTGCAGGAACCCGGGTCTATGAGA